AAGAAGTTTTGTATATTTGGAAAGAGCAATTCTGCAGCAGTGCAGTTGGGTCACCAGGGAAACGAACTGCAGGGTCTGTGAAGCCACATCGCTGAGGGTTTCTTTTTGATTGGCCAAAAAAAAAGCCTGTGTAGAGAGTTTGGGACAGCCTAATCAGAAAGAAGACGAGCGTGTCTTAAAAAAAGACACAGGACCCACAGGAGGACCGATATCTCCGACAGAATACAGGCAATGAGTTGAGGTCGTGATGGAATATGCTCCTTCGCAGTGACTGGTTGAGGCTCTAGCTTCACAGCAATCCCACTGAAGTTGTCCTGGGATGATGACCAGGGCAGAAGCAAAAATATGTTTACTTCTATAGTATACTCTTAGTTTCTCCATTCTGATCATCTCCATTCAGATAATCCCACCCTCTGCTCCCGGCCTCAACGCTTCCAAGTTTGTATGTGGCGTCTGACTATGATCACCCACTTCCTGTGAAATGATAAACAAAGTTGAGTGTGAATACCTCTGGGCTGAGATAATTAGCGCTGGTCCAGATAACTCTGCTCCTTGCTGCTACAGCTGACCTCTGGTCCTAAACCCTTGCCTGCTTAGACCTGTCCTAGCTTCCAGACTCTTCCCACTGTTACCAACCAGAGTTCTTGGCCTTCCCCAATCAATAGAGGGGAAGACAATTTCTTGTCTCTAGAGGCCAGACAAGAAATTTAGGTGAGGCTTTATTGGGGCCCCTGCTGCAGCACGGGGGAGCGAGAACAAAAAACAGGTTCCATTGCTTGTTCACTCCCCGCTCCCCGAGGGGGGCGAACTTGTTCTTTATAGGGGGTGAAGGTAGGGATGTGTCCAGGGGTTGGGCCGGAGGCGTAGCTTAGGTGGTTTGCCCGCCCCTTAGGTGGTGCTGCGCACAGGGTCATGCTCAGTACCCCGCTTTTGCTCCCAACACGCCTGTTTTTGCTCCAGGCTCTTAGAAAGTGGCAGTTGGGTTTTTTGGTCTCTTTGTATATTTTGGGTCCAGAATTTGCCCCACCTGCTCATGCACACAGTTATTTTTAGTCCCATATAGTTTCTTTATGTTTTGTCGCTCAAGGAGAGGTGTGTCCAGGTGCAAGCACTGCGGCACGGCAGCAAATGGTCCGAGGTCCCAGCCTGTCTCACCACCACGATACATACATGTGCTGATATTACATAAGGAAAGTCAAAGTTACACTGTATTGCTAACCACAGACGTTTAGGAAGACAAATGACTTGAACCCTAGTTTATAGTTGTTTTACTCTTATTCCTTTTATTTGCTTATTAAGCTTTTTTTTTAGGAAAAACCACTCCCAATTTATAGATAAACCCACAGTTAGCAAAGACAGCTTTGACACCTTTCTCCCCCTCTCAAGGCAACTACTGCTGCCATGGAAATCATTGGGTAGGAGGGGGATGGAAAAACAAATGCTGGTGCTTAGAGGATCTGCAGCATCAGCAGTGGAGGAATGAAATCAGCTGTGGAAACCCAGCAATATTTTAGGGGACTTGATTAGAGGAAAGATTCCCAAAGAGGACTAGCCTATTTGTAAGGTGACCGCCCTGACCCAGTGATCTCCTACCCTAACAGGAAATTTTCCTTTTGATGTGCTTGGCTACCTCGGGGCAAAGATTAATTTGGATAACAAGCATCTTCTTTTAACAATGTTTATAACTCTGAACTGGTTAGAGGTCTACTAGCCATTGATACATGAGCAGGACTGAGTTCATTTCAAAGCTTCCAACAGATCCCTTGCAGATGTCAGCTACTCTGAATAAACAAGAGCCTGGGTTGAAGGATAGAAAGTAGCGCTGAAAACAGAGGTGAAAACTGAGAAAAGTACATTTGGTAACAGTGGCTGTTCTAGTACCTACTTGGCATCCATCCTTCCAAGGAGTTCAGTGTTTCAGTTTGTTCATATAGTCAAAGGAGGCCCCATGGAAGCACCTTGACTCTAATTTGTAGAGGGGGCGCCACTGAACTCCCAAGTCAGACAAGACACAATGGAGGCACGCAGACTATACTTCTACCTTTCGGCAATTTCAAAAAGTTCCTTTAGTCGGCCAGAAAGAAGGCTTCAGCCCTTTCCTCTGTCACCTGAATTAGGTTAAGAATATATTTCTTAGTCTCTAACCCAGTCCCCCCACCATGTCCATGATTAAGCCTGGTATTTCAGAATGTCTTGGGTGGAAGTGAAGAACAGCCACTTCCCACCATCATGAAGGCCCCTTGCAGAGAGTTTTCTTCTCATTTTAAAACGTTTTAACATTTAAGGCTAGAAATAAAGTCAAATGTATGTACTTCATCAAACTTCATAGTGATAGATCAGTTTAAATTTACTAAAAGTTGACTACAAGATGGAATGATTTAAAGGACAACTTAAAGGGAATAAAAATGAATTCCTGGGACTTCCCTGGTGGTCCAGTGGTTAAGAATCCGCCTTCCAATGCAGGAGACGTGGGTTCAGTCCCTGATCAGGGAACTAAGATCCCATGTGCCTCGGGGCAACTAAGCCCACCCACCACAGCTAGAGAGAAGCCCGAGCGCCACAAGGAAAAGCCCGCATGCCACAACTAAGACCCGACACAGCCAAATAAATAAATAAATATTTAATTGCATTTTCAGCTGGGCCCCTGGGCACCCTGAAGAAAGACAGTATTTTTCAGCTTCTGGTGTGATCATCCGACTGATTTCTGGCCATATAATGTGGGCAACTCCTCATTGATGCTCTTAAAAGGTAACATTTCCCCCCATTTCCACCTTCCCACGGGCTAGAAGTGGACCTAATGGGGGACACTTTGGACTGCGGGGGTGAGGGGAACATCCTGTGAATGACAGAGCAAAAACTAAGAGCCTGGCTTTATGGAACAGAACCTCAATACCAGCTGAGAGTTTAACACAATAGAGAATTCATCTTCTATCTGGTTTAAGTCACTGTTATCTAGATCCCATGGGACCAGACCTATATCCTCACCAACGTTCCCCAATACCCAGCCCTCCTCCCCAGTCCTCCCAAACATCCACCTTCAGGACTTTCTACTGCGATTCGAATAATTTCTCCTCTTGTTCTTCAGTGAAAGGAGTTGTTGTCTGCTTCTTACCAACAATTAGTATCAAATAGAGAATATATCCTATATTAAAGTAACTTTTTGTCAAAACCTAGGCTTAGGCAGGATAATCCTTTCAAATTTTGAGAATGAGTTGCTAGACCATGAAGAATTTTGTAGATTTTTATTATTTTACTATTAAAATTTTAAATCTTGAAATCGGTTAATCATAAAGTAAAAACTAACCATATATTTATTTTTATACATTATATACACTTGAGAAATAAATAGTATTCTAAGCATTTAAAAAAGCATCATTATATACAAATAAGGCTTCAAGCCAAATGTATAAATACAGGACCCACTGAGGATTCGATTCCCAAGGCTTCCATTACAAAAGTAGAAGTAACCAGGATGCACAGTCAATAATACAAGCTCTACTTTGGCTAGAATGCAATCACAGAAGCCACAGAAAAGGCACACAATTGGATTGAGAAAATACCTTGAATTAAGGTATTTAACTGGTTATGTCTTCAGAGGTTTGGTACAGAACAATGACACAACCTTGGCACAATAGAGACTAAAACAATGTCCTTTAAAAACCTAAGTACAGAGAAAATCGCTCTCCCCCTTTCCTACCTGACATCACATCTCCTTGCAAATCAATCTTATCCATAAAAATCCCAACCCTTGGCCCAGTTGTTCTCCCAGTTATATATTAATAAAAGAGTTTCGGGTTTCATGGATGGCTCTGAAGAAAATTCCTTGTTTGTTACATCTGGGGCATATTGGTGGGAAATGGCTATACGAGTCCTGGTGAAGTTGCAGAGATGAGCATACCATGGGCATTGCCTCCAGGAAGTCTAGGTCCTCACCTGGCTCCTCCACCAACTTGGTATATAATTCTAGGCTCGTGCTGAACCTCACTAAGCTTCGGTTTTGTAAAATAGAGATAATAGTAACTGCCCTGCTCACCTCCTGTTGTGAGTCTCTAATTAAGTGATGCATGTTCAAATCTTTTGAAAATTATAAAAGGGTTCCTCAGATATCATGTATATTAATTCAAACCAAGATCTAGAATTAAGGGCTTTTTGAAGAAGTTCAGCACAGAAAGGGCACTTATATTGGAACAAGATATTTCAAGAAGGAAAAAGCATGGCATTAATTCAATCTTGGTACCAGCTGTGTGTGACAGGTGCTGGTTTCCGTATGAACAGACATGTGTAACATATGTAATAGCCTCCAGCTTCCTACACAGAAGAGATTTTGCCAATCATATTCAGCGATTGGCACCATTCTGTCCCTAACGTGTATGACACTCCGCTTGCCACTCTGCTGGTGATCAAAGATGTCACTCTTAAGGGAAATGCACTTTAACTAAGAGGAAATAGGTAGAAATCACTTAAAGCCTCAGGGTCCCCAACTCTCACATCCTGTAGCCCTCCCAGTGCCCCTCATGCCTTTCATCACGTGCATATCCATGGATCATCTAAACGGGAAGGGAGCCTAGACATCCCAACCCCATTAGGTTTCAAATGAGAAGATGGTCTGCAAAGATTTACTAAGGTGTCTACTGCCATGTGCTAATTAAGTTTCAGTGCTTAATAAACATTTGTCCAATCAAAAAATGAGCAATGGAGGGGCTTCCCTGGTGGCGCAGTGGTTGAGAATCTGCCTGCTAATGCAGGGGACACGGGTTCGAGCCCTGGTCTGGGAGGATCCCACATGCCGCGGAGCAACTAGGCCCATGAGCCATGACTACTAAGCCTGCGCGTCTGGAGCCTGTGCTCCGCAACAAGAGAGGCCGCCATAGTGAGAGGCCCGCGCACCGTGATGAAGAGTGGCCCCCGCTTGCCACAACTAGAGAAAGCCCTCACACAGAAACGAAGACCAACACAGCCAAAATAAATAAATAAAAATTAATAAACTCCTACCCCCAACATCTTCTTAAAAAAAAAAAAAGAGCAATGGAAAAAGAAGAAAGCCAATGATGTGTGCATTGGAGAAGGAGCTGGGGAGCAGGACTGAATAAAATGTAACCAGTCCACGTCACCAGTTACCCATCGAACCCCAAGGGCGAGGGCCGCCACACCTCCCCAGATCTACTCTCCCTCCCCCGGCGAACAAAGTCCCAGGCCTGCCATCCTGACACGAGTCAGCTCCCAGCAGCAAGACCCCTCACTATGACTCAAGTCAGGTCAGGCAGATGACAGCCTTCCACGCAGAGTCACTCGGAGCCTGTGTTCCTTGTTGGGTGAAGCACAGGCTCATCCAGTCCTGAGAAGCCAGCCTGGTATGCATAGAGGCCAGGGCATTGGCCATTTGCACACAGATCTGGAGTTAGAGCTATCGTAGAGCAGCAGCGGGCACAGCAGGAACAGCAGGATGTGGTCTCCTCTGGAGAAAAGTCCCAGCCGTCATGGGAGGCACGGTGCTGGGCCCAGCAAGTGGGCTCCTCCCGTTGCTCCAGGGTCAAGGCCAAGAAGGGTCTTTCCATCAGGTGGGTCCTCAGCAGTAACATTCCTCCATGTGCTTGGAAATCAGGGAGTGGGGGGCCTTGCGGGCATCTTCAAGGATGCTCCGGGGTTGGACTGAAAGGAAACACGTGGGAGTGGTGTTCATTAGCTGGCTTTGCAAACATGCAACTCTGTTTACCACAAGACCAAGCTTTCTTCCATACCTATCAGCCTCTTTTATTTGCTTCCCTTTCAGAACAAATGGAGAAAGTCCTGAATGCTCCCTCCTCCCCTTCCCCCAACAAGCCACAGATTCACTTTGAGAAACACCACACCGGAGCCTGCTCCGGGTTCCTAGTTCCATACACCTCAGTGTTGACATCTGCATATTTAGCAGAAAACTCACCCACAGCACGCACATGTGCACACAAGCACACACACACACACAAACACAACTTCGGGGAGAACTATAAAGTGCTCCTTTGCTTTGATCTAGAAACACAAGAGAGCCGGCAGTATGGCAGGAAGGGGGCAAGGCAAAGTCAAGACATCTTGAATCTAGTCTCAGCTACACTAACGCACTACTGAGCCTCTTGGAACCTCAGTCTCCTTCTCTGTGAAGAGGTGAACGGTCTCCATGGCAGGAGAGAGAGTACTGACAGTGTAATATATGTCCAGGGATTCACCACTTCCTGGTGTTAATTTATTACTCGGGATCCTATTGTTTTCTGTTCCTTTGAAGGCAAAGGAAAGGACCTGTTTTCTCAAAGAGGTATTCTGAGGCGAGGTATAACGTTCTCAACTGTTATGAAGTTCTGGAGTGGAAAAGAAGTATATAAGAAGAAGAAGAAGAAGAGCAATCCTTCCTGGGTGTGTCCAATTTACATGGCTGTTCTGAGGATCAATGAAGTTAATACATGTGGAAGCACTTGGAAAGGTATAAATTTGAATACAAACATAAAGAATTAAAATTATTACTATAGCAGAAAATCATATCCAGACTAGACTGAGTCACTTAATTAGATGGGCAGTTTTCAGAATCCCACAAGTCCTGTGATCACCGAGCTTGTGGTCACGTTGATGCTCCTGAACAGGAGACAGAGCAGCCAGGATGTAGCCCGGCCCTCCAGGCTGGCAGACAGTTAATCACAGGGGATCCCAGCACGGGCGCGGCTGCTTGATAGCTGATACCCAGATTGAGGAGAGGTGACTTATCTGAGCAAGTGGCACCTCCATGCGCGAGAAAGAGCACAGGTTTTAGAGTAAACCAACCTGCTTCAAATCCTTACTCTGCCATCACCAAGTGGGGGACCTGGAAAGAGTGACCAAACCTCCCTGAGTCTCAGGTTCCCCAACTGTTCACAGGGTTACGACACCAGCATCATGAGCTTGATGATCGAAGTAAATGAGATGATGTACGGAAGGCACTGACACAGGGTGGGCACACACTACGTGCTCGGTGTAAGGCAGCAGCATTATCATCTAGTACCTCTGACGGACCCAGGGGTAGGGGCTGGTGGGGGCCATCTCCCTCCTCCTCAGCAGGCATTTAGACTCAGAGGGTGTGTGACGGAGTCCCCTTTTGGGTGCACCCACTGCCTCATACCACGAGATCATCCTTCCTCAATTCTGAGATCATGAGACTTGCATGGAGCAAGGAGGACCCTGAAGCAAGAGCACATGAGCATTCCTGCTTCTCAAAAAGGGGGAGAGTTGCCCACTAATATCCACTCACACCAACCTGGGTTCCAGAAAACCTTAAAGGGAGGCTATGCCTTGTGCTTATCCCTTACCTCCCACCCGACTCCCCACTCCAACCTGGTGTCCAGAAAGAAGCTGGGAGCCCTGGAACTTCCCACAGCCCCAGTCACTACAGAGAAGCTCCATCTAAGATGAGGACATGGGTACCAAGCTTGGGACTTAGTCACTGAAAGACCTCATTCCAGCAGGACCATGGCTGTGACACCTACAGGATGAAGCAGAGCAAGAGGCAAAGGGACATTCACACCATCCAACATCCTATCACACTGATCTGTCTACCTCCTTCCAGCAGAAGGTCATCTTCATCAAGGAAGGGACTTTTATCTGTTTTTGTTGACTTCTGTGTCCCAAGTGCCAGACACATGTCCAGCCTACACTAGGGGACCCATCAACATGCATTGCATGAACCTCTGAGAATGTCCTGCTTACCTGGTTTCATTTTTCATTCTCCAGCCATCCCGACACTTGTGAAACCAGAGCTCTTGGCCAGGGGATATGCGGGTGTTCTCAAGATCTTCTGCACAAAAAGTCAATCTAGGAGGAAAAAGAAACCACTGACGTAGCCAAAACTCTAGGGGTAGGTACATGGCTGTGCGCCAGCCGCATGCTGCTCTCTGGACCTGAGGCAGATGGAATAAGGAGAAAAGAGAAGCTTTTATCATGTGACCCCTGACTCAAGACCCTTCAGAACTCCCCACTGCTGCTACGAGCACACTAAAAGCGTCTCACTTTGGTGTCTCCCATGATTCAGCTCATGCAGACTTTAATCACACCCCTTCCACCTTCTTCCTTCTGTCTATCCAAAAGCCTGCCTGCCTACCAAGGCATATCCTCTCTGAAGCCTCCCTGATTGCCCGAGACCTTATTAATCTAACCCTCCATTGACCTTCCAATTTCATAAATAGGCACATCCTTATATAAATGTTGCTTTTGTTATTGTCATTACTTCTTATGGCACGGAGTTAATAATGAAAGCTTTAGCTCATTTTAACACATTATATCTTGCCTTGAATAGCTTGTGGATTCTTGCATCCCTGGTGGACTATAAACTCCTTGAACGGAGGAACTCCAGGTCCCTCCAGCATGGTGTCCAGAAATACCCATTGACAAGCGTAACTGGAACTCAGCTGTGAGTTAATATCAAAGATTCAAGAAGTAGACAACCAAGATCACAGGAAGAATCAGTGATCTAATAATCGTTTCAACTGTAACTTACAGCCCAACCATGTGGGCTGCCCCAGCCTCAGTAGTGTGTGGACAGCATGACCTCATGACCAATAGACATGTGGTACACCTGATCGTGATGCTTACCAGCGGGACAAAAGCCACATTCCCAACAGCTTTCAGAACCTTCGCCAGGAAGCCCAAACAGCCCATAAACACCCACAACGCTCACAATCAGGAAATACAAATGAAAACAACAGTCGGGGATCAATTCACACTCAACGGAATAGCAAGAATGTCCACCAAAGGCAGGTGAGGAGGAGGGGAAAAAGAAGCTCTTACTCTGTGGATAAGATTAAAAATTGGTCCAACCACTTTGGAGAGGGATTTAATAATATCCAGTCCAGTTGGAGAATACATACACTATAACCCAGTGATTCAACATGCCCCAAAGAAGCCCTTACACACGTACACAAGGAAAATGTCCCAGGATGTTCATCTCAGCACTATTTGTAACTGCAAAAATGTAGCAACAACTTAAATATTCAGCAGAACAATGGTGAAACTATTGTTTGTGCAATGGCAGTTTACATACAGGAGTTGAATGTGAATAGACCAGATCTGTATGCATTGGATAAATCTCATAAGCTATGTTAAATGGAGAAAAGCAACTTTTAAAGGAATATGTCCACTCACATAAACTTCAGAAGCAACCAAAACATTTCTATAGGTTGTTTATGGATACAAACAGAAGTATGGAAAGTATAAAAATCAGGAAGAGGAAAACACACTGACATTAGTTAATGTTGGAAGATCGGTACATTTGGTTTGAAAGGGGAGGAGTCGGACGGGGGAGGGGCACAAAGGGGCTTCGGCTTTATCTGTAATGTTTTACTGTTTAAAATCTTGTATCTGAAACCAATATGAAAATGGTTTACATTTATTAAGTCTCAGTGGTTTATTAAATTTGAAATATTTTATAAAAATGATCATCTTTCTGCTACCACACATCTTTCTGGTACAGGCTGCACTTATAAGCACCGACAGAAGGAAAAAGACACGCAATTATCTAGATCACAGCCTTCATACTAACAGCTCCCCTCAGCTGGCACCCACCCCTGCCACATACACACCGGTGCACAGGTCTTTCGACCAGAATCACTCAGACAAGCAACCTAAGCCTCCACCCCCTGCGTGGCCAAGCTGCACCATAGGTGGTAGATGGAAACGGGACGCATGAAGAACTGTAATGGAGAAAATACCAGAAGAGATAGAAAGAAGGTGGAGGCTTCTTCCCACCATCCCAAGGCTGGCAGTGACGTCCCGGAGGTCTGCTGAAGGATTTGGCCAAGGAAACCCTCCTCTCTTGACAAAGGTCTTCCTGGCTGCTCCGAGAGTCGAGCCACGTTTTAGCGGCTGATTTAGGGGTGGATTTTTTGCGTTACGCTTGGTTAACAGACGTGGGGAAACTGCTAGCTGGCGTGGCACAGAGGAATCTGTTGCTTGACGTTAGCGCCCCACGCATGTCCTTGAGTCAGAGCCTCCCAAGGAGAGGTATAATGCTCTGAAAACTGGATGCAAGGGAAGCCAGGACTCCCACAGACCTCATCCATGCAGGCTCCCTAAACTGGATAGTCTGGTTTGCTCTGGACTGGAGCAAGCAAAGGCTTTTGGTTGCACGGACCCCAGAGCAAACAAATTAACAAGGCAGCACTCCTAAAGAGCCCTGTCCAGGAGAAGCCCTCTTCCTCCGGGCCAGCACAGGGCTTGGCAAATGGAACAAGGGCTGGATTCCAGCCCCCGCTTGCCCACCCCTCTCAGCCCAGGGCCTGCGATCAGGGTACAAGCTGCACAACACTTGACAGAGGCCTTGGTCTGGAATTCAGTTCTCCTCGCAAAGGGTTTGCAGTTTTGCCCATGTACTCTGGATACGGAAAGATGGAAGCTGTGCGCTTAGCAAAGGAAAGGACGCTGCAGAGACGCACGCCTTCTGCTGACCACGGACCCAGAACAGGGAAAGGGTCGCGAGGCACTTACTTCCTCTGGGTCTCCCCGGACTTGACGCGGATGCGTCTGATATTCAGCTCTTGCTCGGACCTGCGGGGCTGAGACAGGTAGCTGCGAAGCTCTTTCCACAGGTTGTACCAGGACTGAGAAGTCCTCTCCCAGGTGAGTCTGATCTTCAGGAGGTCTCCCAAGTCCTCCTCGGTGTAGACCAGAAAGGTGTTGGTGGCATTCAGCCCGATCTGCTCCACTCTGCAAGGGGAGAGGGAAGCTGGTCTCAGTCCCCCCGCCACCTGGAAAACTGCAGCACCGTGGGGGTTGACGCAGTGGCAGCACCTGCCCCACTCGGATGGGAGAGAAATGCACAAGATGTCCCCCCTACGTTCTCCACGTCCCACCAGCAGGACCGGGATGAAAACTCAGCTGTGCTCCACATGAGCAGAGAGATAATATTGCCCACCGCACCCCAAACCATTCCTGAGCATCTCCCCATTCATGCTATTTCCTGGGGGGACAAGACCAGGAAAGAACAGAAATGAGAAAGCGCAAAGAAGTCACATCCCCACTCGACAGCGCCTCCTCCTCTCAGCCCACAGGCATCCATCTCCCTGGGAATTCTCAGCCCTTCCTGCCTGTCCCTCTCACGTGGCGCTTGGGGGAGCCTTTCTCACCCCATGTGTGTGCATGAGTGTGTGCGTACAAGCCTGTTCCTCCTGCTGGAACCCCAGCCCTGAGAGCGAGCATTCTGATGACGTTACTTTGCAAGCCCAGCATTACTCAGCGTGGCGCTTTGCACCTTACAAGTGCTCAACGTATACGGATCACTGTGTGCCCCTCCCACAGATAATTAGAAACATGCCAGGGATGATGTTTATCAAGTTCCAAATTTCCTAAAGCCTCAGGAATCAGGCGTTCTCTGAAATGAAACAGCAGTTTCTGCCCAGCCGATCCAGCAGATTCTCACGCTGCTGATTCATCCCAGGAGCTGCCCTTCCAGAAACGTTCTGAGTCAAGGGCTAGGTGGAGAGTGTGAAGCAGGAGAGGAACCACACAGCTCCTCCCTGGCACGCAGACGAGCTCCCTTGCACTTGTTCACCTGGCACACAGAGAGCTCCTGCGCTCTCTCTCCTTTTCAAACCAATTCGTTCTCTGTCCTGAACTCAGCAAAGGAAACCCGTGACTTACATTTCCAAAGGCAGAATCTGGGAGTCTGCATTGGTGCCATAAATGGTGACATAAAAGGTGGGCTCAATTTCTCCCATGTTCTTGTAGCTGAAGACATGGATTTTCATCTGATAATGGTAAACTGCAGAGACAGCAGAACAAAGACATTTGTGAGCCTTGCTTGTCATCTTAGGTCACCCTGACCCAAACTGAGTCACCCAGCACAGTGAGTTTTTAGGGACTCTCATCCTTTGGGTCCAGCCCATCCTCTAGCCTCCCTTTGATCTCATTCTGTCCAATGGCGTAAAGGTCACTGCAGTATAGAAGAAGGAGCCCTGAACTTTGGGTTTGGGAGACCTTTGGGGGTTGCTGACCTAGGTACTTTCTAGCTGTGTGACCTTGAATTAAGGACCAAGGTATTAACTTCTTGAGCCTCAAATTCCACCCACAATACCCACAAAACCTTACGGTTTTATAACATGCTATAAAAATGCGAGATATCATTTGGATCCACTGTTAGTCCTATCACAGATTATTCTGATGATCAAATGAGAACACAAATATGAAACAGCTTTGAAAAGCCAAATGCAAGATAGAAATTTAAGATGGCGATATTGTGATCACAGAGTGGTGATTCACATCACAAAAGGAGTTCCCATCATTTATTTTTAAAGATTTACTTTCCTAGGCATACACAATTTAATGTGATTTGCAGTTATTTGATTTAACTGCAGGAATGTGCCCATCTACAATGTGGTATTTAGGAGGAAAAAGGTCCTTCCGCAAGGCAATGCAGGTTTGGATGAAGGTTACCTCTGAAAGGCATGCCTGCCCGGGTTTTTAGGTACATTTTGCTGTTCCTCTTGTTCCTCATTTTCTTGGCATTGTAGCCAATGCTATTACAACGGTTCTTCCGGCAACTGAGGCAGATCCCCTTTTTGAAGCGGTTGGAGTCCGTGCACTGGAACGCGAAGCTCGGCTTGTCCTGATTCACCAGGGAGTCGACGAAGAGGTGGACGGCCCGCTCGTGCTCGCATCTCACCACCTCTGCAATTGCTGGGGTTGAGAGAGATGGAGACCATCAGGCTGAGCTGCTTCTCGGTGATCCGCCCACTCCATCAGTAAGTACTGTACACTTCATCAGAAATAACTGCTTTTCATGTCGCTGTTAGTATGCTTGTTTGTGTCATTCTTTTCTTTCTTTTTTTTTTTTTTTTTTGCGGTACGCGGGCCTCTCACTGTTGTGGCCTCTCCCGTTGCGGAGCACAGGCTCCGGACGCGTAGGCTCAGTGGCCGTGGCTCACAGGTCCAGCCACTCCGCAGCATGAGGGATCTTCCCGGACCGGGGCACGAACCCGTGTCCCCTGCATCGGCAGGCAGACTCTCAACCACTGCGCCACCAGGGAAGCCCGTTTGTGTCATTCTTAATGCATGTCCAGTGATATACTGTCTTTAGAACTGAAAGCCAGTCCTGCCACCGGACTGCTTGCCCTCCAGGTGGGAAGACAGCACTGATACACATGAAGCAATAAAGAGCAAGAGAATGCATAGCACAGGCACTAAACAGGGTGAAGGAGACCAGTTGTGCAGTAACAGTCACTAAGTCCCGATAGAGTCATGCCGGGCTTCCGTGGTGGCGCAGTGGTTGAGAATCCACCTGCAAATGCAGGGGACACAGGTTCGATCCCTGGTCTGGGAAGATCCCACATGTCACGGAGCAACAGAGCCCATGCGCCACAACTACTGAGCCTGCGCTCTAGAGCCAGCGCGCCACAACTACCGAGACTGCGTGCTGCAACTAGAGAAAGCTCACAAGAGCAGCAACGGAGACCCAGAGCAGTGAAAATAAATAAGTTTATAAAAAAAAAAAACTTAAAAAGAAAAAGGAAAGAAAATGTTTGACAACCTCATTCTAGTCCAATACTTTCAGTTGTAGATTATGGGCCCAAATGCCCTTAGAGATGAAGTCATTTGCTCAGGGTCACAGAGTCAGTTGGTTGCAAAGTTAGGAGTATGATTTGTATTTTTGTGACCCACAGTAATCATTATTTCTTGTAACCAGAGGCTAAAGCCAATAGTTCCAGTAAATCCTTGGACCTTAAGAAAAATTTGGCAAAGCTCCCCTTCCCCTTCCTCATTAATATCACCAGCCTTAAGAAATGCCATCATCTGATCCCCCTGCAGGGCTGAACTCCCCTTGCATGAACCCCCAAGCCCCGCAGGGGCTCCTTGGATGTTATCACCTTGGGAGAGGGCAACTTAAGACTGAGTGACAGAGTGGACATCCCAAGAGCAGAGCATCACAGTGGAGAGAGCCAACTGGGGCCAAGGCTTAGAAATGCTGCCAGGATGCAAGGCGGTGAGCAAATGAGAAACCAAGCACCTCAGTTTCAGCAGCAAACTCACTTCAGCCCAAGACTGCTGGGAATAGGCTTAGGCATCCAGGAAGACAGATTATAAGTGAATGGAGGAAGAATCTTGAGTTTATTTCTTTAAAATGTTACCAAAAATTAAATTATAGTACATCCATGCTAAAGAATATTATACAGCCTTTTAAAAGAATAAGGTAAGTAGATATCTGTACTCTGATGTCTAAGAATGTCCGTAATATATATTAGGACTGAAAAAGCAAAGTTGCTTTTTCAATGTGATTTTGAAAAATATCACACACACACACACACACACACAAATAAATTTGCAAAGCGATGAGTGGAAGGATACACATAACATGTTCATATTGGCTACATCTGGAGAGTGAAAGTAGGAGTAGGTGTGGGAAATGAGCCGGTATTTTTACTTCTTGCTTTAGGCAATTTTATAATGCTTGCTTATTTTCCCAACAAATGTGTATTCCTTTTGTTATAAAAAGAAATTAATCAATAATAACTGTGACCTCAAAGCACAAGAAAGCAAAGCAGAGACCACGGGAAGGCTGTTAATTGGCTTGCAGGATGATGAACTGTAGAATAAACAGTGTTGAAGGGCCACTGGGGGGTAGTGGGAACAATGAAACGGATGCTGTCGGGAGCACGAACAGCTCTGGCTGATTTAGGAGGAGATGCTATAACTGAGTCAAAACAAAAAATAAGGGACTTGGGGCTTCCCTGGTGGCGCAGTGGTTGAGAGTCCGTCTGCCGATGCAGGGGACACGGGTTCGTGCCCCGGTCTGGGAAGATCCCACATGCCGCGGAGCGGCTGGGCCCGTGAGCCATGGCCGCTGAGCCTGCGCGTCCGGAGCCTGTGCTCCGCGACGGGAGAGGCCACAGCAGTGAGAGGCCCGTGTACCGCAAAATAAATAATAATAATAAGGAACTCACTTCCATATGCAATTGACCCCAAGACATCGTTGAGTCCACAGCCCGGCTGGAAGTCACCTCCATTGGGGTAGATGTCAATGTGACCCACAGGCCTCTGAATCCCGATGCTCAAGCCAAAGGAGCGCGTGTAGGTGTGCAGGACATCCACGAAGTCTGCATCGTCAGGGGACAGCCTCCTGTGGATGTCAACCCCTTCAAACATGGGCCCAGCAGGATCCAAACCTACAGCAGAAGGGGGAGCCAAGACCAGCTGTGTCAGGTGCGCTAAGGCAGAGAGTCCTGACGGATAGCTAAGTCGGCAAGTGTAAAATGAAGACATCCCCACCCTGGGAATCCTAAAGGGTGTGGTGCCTGCTGCAGAGGAACGTATGCTTTCTTCTGAAGCCTTCACCTGTCCTGACAACTCAGCTGACTCAGTAAATTGGCCACGGGGTTCAAGTGACACGTGGATCTGAGGCCATGCACTGTCAGAACTGAAGCAGTTCTAGAGGCTTTCCTGGTGGCACAGTTGTTAAGAATCCACCTGCGAGTGCAAGGAACACAGGTTCGATCCCTGGGCTGAGAAGATCCCACATGCCATGGAGCAACAAAGCCCGTGAGCCACAACTACTGAGCCTGTGCTCTAGAGCCTGTGTGCCACAACTACTGAGCCCGTGTGCCACAACTACTGAGCCCGTGTGCCACAGCTACCAAAGCCTGCATGCCTAGAGCCCGTGCTCCAAGAGAAGCCACCGCAATGAGAAGCCTGTGCACCACAACGAAGAGTAGCCCCCGCTCACAAAACTAGAGAATGCCTGCGTGCAGCAACGAAGACCCAATGCAGCCAAAAATAAATAAATTAATTAATTAAAAAGAAAAAAAAGAAGAACTGAAGCAGTTGTAGAAAGAACTTGGGCTGGCTGAAACTAAGCCATTCATTCCATTTATTCTGCCACTGGGAGCCTTCCACAGTCTTAATTTTAGCAGAATTTTGACAGAGTAACTAAGCTACCTACATCTTCAAGAGGGAAGACTCAGTCTCCCCAAACTGAGCTATTTGTATTTGGACTTACACTTCCCCTTCCTTTAGTTATGAATCAGGCCCAGGAGTGGAATGGCAAGAGGGGGGTACACCAGGCACACCGAGCAGCCATATCTCAAGCCTCCAGAATTCCTCTCTTTTGCAGCCACAAGGAGAAAACATTTTGTCTGCAAACTTTCTGTATCAAACAAACAGCACTGCAGAGAGCACTGGTTCTCACATTTGAAACAGCACAAATATCTCTGGGGAGCTTCTTACAAATTTGGATTCCACCGTGTAGCTATGAAAAACTCTGGGAGGACGCACAAGCCCCAGGTCACCTGTGTGTATGTGTGCCGGGGGAGAAGGCAGAGTAGGCAACTGCAAAGATAGTGGCAGAGACAGAGACACTTTCACCATCTTGTATAATAGTTTGGGAACCACATGAGTGTAAAACCATTCAAAATAGAATTTGCAAAGCTTAAAATGCAGATTCCCTGACCCCCAAGAGATTCTGATTGGTAGGTCTGGTGTAGAGCCCAGAAATAGAGGTTTATTCCCCAGCTGATCCTAAAAATAAGTGGTCTGTGGACCAGATTTTGGAAAAACTTCTCCATGCTTCAGAAGCATTTCGAAAATGAAATCTGAATGTCTTGATTCATACAGTTCTTGTGCAATATTAAGGAGTAAGGGCTTGTCAAGGTAATACTAGCTACTATTACCAAGCTTAAGTAATTATGGGAGCTGGATTCGTCCCAACCTAGAGCCCTACAGACACAGAGAGAGGACCTGGAGAAAGTTAAGAAAAGATTATGTGCAGCAGAGGAAGGGGGTTTGTTTAGTCTAGAACAGTGGTTCTCAACTAGGAGGGATTTTGCTCCCAAGGGGACACTTGGCAACCTCTGAGGCATTTTTGGTTGTCACAATTGGCGAAGAGGGAGAAAAGAAGCTGCTAGCATCTAGGGAGTAGAGGCCAGGGATGCTGATAAACATCGTGCAATGCACAGGTCAGCTCCCACACAAGAATTATCTGGCCCCAAATATGAATAGTTACTGAGGTTGAGAAACCTGGATCTAGAAACACCAAAGTAGGGAGGAGGTATGACCAAGAACAGAGCTGTGAAAGCAGCAGGTGAGCAATAGAACAGGGTTTCCCAGATCCCAGTGCAGTGGACCAAGGGAGCACATCGTGAGGCTTGAGGGGGGTCATTTTAGGATAAACAAAAGGTAGAACTGTTGTCCAGAGCGGACAGTAAACCTGTGGAACTCGCTACTCATGAGAACTGGTAATGATTAACACTCTGAAGTTGAGAAAAATGTATGAATGACAGAGGCAGAAAGGGAGCCCAGGCTGCCTGGGGGCTCATCTCTAGCCCAGGACCCAAAAGAAAGATGGCACAAAAACAGTGGCCTCCCAGAACAGCCCTCGATGACTCTTTTTAGGGACTGAACGGACTCAGTACTGACACAGGTGGCCTCTCCCTGCCTCTCACCATGTCCTCTGGAGAAAAAAAAAAAAAGAAAGAAGAGGAACATTCTGCTTTGCAGCCAATAAGAGAGGGGCTCTTGTATCGGTGAACAAAAGTCTCCACCAGACAGTCAGTGCCATGGAAACCAAGCTGGGCTGGAGGAATGCAGGCGGCTGACGGGGCTTCTGGAAAGGCCGGCTGGCAGGCAGAGCTTTCACCTCCCCAGACTGACCCCGCCTGACACGTAGCTAGGGCCCACCGACTCTGGGGAAAAGTTTCACAATTTACTTCTTAACTAGGAATGGGAGGGCGAACGCATCCCCTCCAAAAAAAAAGAGATGATGGAGAACCACCTCTTCTTCCATTCAGTCAGACTCCCCTCAAAGTGTTCTGTCCAGCAAATGGAATATACACACGCATGCACACGCACACACCCTGTCGTGCACACGCACACACACAGGAAAACCTCCACCTTCTGGCCTGGCAGGGCAGAGGCTGCTGCGCTGTAACAGCTACTGCATCTCTCGCAGCAGGAGAGCGGCAGCACTGTGCAGTGGTGAGGTGCAGGCTCTGGAATCCGATGGCCTGCCCGGGTTTGAATCCCAGCTCTGCTACTCAGGGTGTGAGATATCATTAAAGTACATACTGAGTCCTATTTTCCCCATCTGTAAAATGAAGCCCAAGGACCCTTTTGCCTGGACGCTATGTGGCTTACATATGGCATAAAATACCTGTCACACATTGAGTGCTTGACATTAGGTAGCATCTAGCCCACAGCCTGCAGGGTGGACACTTAGTTCACATCTCTTGCATGAATGAACAGATCTGCTTGCTTATTTATTTGTAACTAACAAGACACAAGGTCAATTAGAAATATATGACCTCTTCCCTAATGTGTCACGGAATTCCCTCAGAAGCCTAAGAGGATAAAACTTTAGCAAACCTCAGTCCACAGCTCTCTGGTCCAAGCAAGACTGGGGTTCAGGTACCTCCTGCAGGTCCAGGCTAAGGACCCCTGCTGGCCTCTGTACAGCGGCGTCACTGGCCTCTGCCCCACACGAGCTGCAGTCTCTGGTCCTCTTACCAGTCAGGACCACCTGGTTCCCAGACCCATGGGAAGTCTGAGGGGAGAGGAGAGGGCACAGGCCTCTCCCCTCAGACATGCACAGCAGCATGCGTCAGGTCAGCCAGATACCCTCTGAGGTGCTGCCTGGCAACTGGACAGAGGCCACTCCTTCCTGTTATGTTCACCCCGGTCCCCTGCTCCACAGAGAGGCTGCAGAGAAGGGGCTGTGCTCAGGACATGCCGGCCCCAATGCTCCACGCAGACAGCCCAGAGCACTGATTAGCATTCTGCCAGCAAAGCCCGCATCTCAGCTGCTCCCACCCAGACAGGCAGGGGGAAAGAACTGGAACTCTCCTACTAGCCCCATCTCATTTCAGATTTAGAAAGAGGAAGAGGGAGGATCTGCAGCTTGTCTTTGTTGCCAAGGACACTGGCCCTGGTGCTCTGGCAGGGGCCTTGTGTGTGCTGCAGTTTGAGCACAGCTGGCCGAGCTCTGCAACATCTTGCCTCTTGCTGGGGGCTAGGAGGAGGTGCTCAGCCAATAGAACCCTGAGGGTCTTGAGGCCCAACGGCTTTGCTCCGGCGATGGGTTAATGAGCAGTCATGTGTGGCCACATTGCCCGTTAGACAGTTCAGGCCCTGCATCTTGATAACCAAAAGTAAAGCTCTCAAGCTATGCTGAATCAAACAGTTGGATCTAAAGGAGTGTGTGTGTGTGCTCATTAGACTTAAGCCCAGGGACAATGATTTAAGCAGGGCTACTAAACCTCACAAATGTATATATTTTTAAATCTGCCCCACTGGCTTGTTGCTGAAACCAGAAACTCTACCTCTACTAAATCATTCTCTAGCTAAGGACTCCCTTCTACCTGAACCCTGTTTTCAAACAAAAACATTGCCAGGAAGGAAATGATTAACTCTTTCCTTCTGGGTGGCCGGTTAGGCCCTTAGTATGTTGAAGGTGAGGGAGAAGCTGGGAGGGAAAACAAATAAAAGAATGCTAGCAGGAGGATAAAAATTCAGGGCAACAAATTTGCCATTAAGGACTTCCCTGGTGGCACAGTGGTTAAGAATCCACCTGTCAATGCAGGGAACTCAGGTTTGAGCCCTGGTCCGGGGAGATTCCACATGCCGCAGAGCAACCAAGCCCACGCACCACAGCTACTGAGCTCACATGCTGCAACTACTGAAGCCCGCGCACCTAGAGCCCGTGCTCCGCAACAAGAGAAGCCACTGCAATGAGAAGCCCGTGCACCGCAACGAAGAGTAGCCCCCACTCGCCGCAACTAGAGAAAGCCCGCGTGCAGCAACGAAGACCCAAGGCAGCCAAAAATTAATTAGTTAATTAATTTTAAAATAAATATATAATCTTAAAAAAAAATTTGCCATTAATTTTCTCCTAGAGGAGAGTATGTTTTTTGAGAGGGCCCCCAAATGGGGAAGAGAATCCTTTCCACTTTTCACTATCATTCAATGATTTAAATCAAACTCTCATATCAAAAGGTCACCAATTATTTGCCAAGGGGAAGGGGGCGAGGGAAGGATTGGGAATTTGGGATTAGCAATTGCAAACTATTATATATAGGATGGATAAACAACAAGGTCCTATTGTATAGCACAGGGAACTGTATTCAATGTCCCGTGATAAACCACAATGGAAAAGAATATGAAAAGAATATATATATGTATAACTGAATCACTTTGCTGTATAGCAGAAATTAACACAACACTGTAAATCAACTACACTTCAATAAAATTTTTTAAAAAAAGGTCACCGATTCTGCCTATGGAATGTATATCTCTCCAAATAAACTTGCTTTCACTTAAAAAAAAAAAAAAAAAGCTCACTAACATGGAAAATTCAAATTTCTATCGACTACCTGGGTACCAATATCAGACAGAAAGGTCTCTTTAATGACAACACTTAAACACTCATTCTAAACAGATAATTATCACTAATAAATATGCCAACTAAACATGGGAAAGAGGTTATTAGTGGATGAAATAGAAACCAGAGGCAGAATTCAAACCATAGCCCATCTCTCATTCCTTTCCCTTGAGGTCCTGGCATTACCATGGGCAGAGACTAGAAGTGAGCACCAGAGGCTTGCAGGCCTGGGCTCCACCCCAGGTCTGCCCCTGAGTCTTAGCTCTTTGCCCCTGGGTGCTTCCTCACCTGTTGCACTAGACCTGGTTTTCAAACTGTGCTCCCTGGTGCTCTGGGACCCGGAAATTCCTCCAGAAAAGGGGGAGGCTCAAATAACAAGGTTAACACTACTTGCAAATACCCAGCTTTGACCAGAACACACCTTCTATCTGTTTCATACATTGGGGACCTGCACAGGTTCAATTTGAAAAAGGGCTCTGAGACTTTTGGACATTTGAAAAGCCCTGGATTAGATGTTCTCCAGGTTTCTTCCAAGGCTAACCCTCTACAGCTCACTCCTGCTGCCTCTTAGGGAGCACTCTGGTTCAGGAAAGCCTGGTGGGCAGAGCAGCTGAGGGAGCTCCAGGATCAGCCGTGAGTGAAGGGAGCAACACTTACCCGTGATTCTGCCCACCGTGCCTTTCACGAAGTTGCCGGCATACCCGGCCACGTGAGCTCCAAGGCTGTAGCCGATCAAGTGAACATCCCCGAGAGAAAAATCCTCCTTCCCCTGCAGGAAGTCACAGAGGTTTGTGAACGAAGAGTGTGGTCCTGAGCCCCAAGGCCACCAACAATTCAACAAGTCAATCACATTGGGGAGACGCGGGAGGGGGGAGGGGGGTGGCAGTGTGGAGCTCAAAGCCACCGGGCTCACTGGAGACTAAGTGCCAGCCACAACCTGCAGCAGGGTGACCACTGCCCACCCTCTTATGCCCACGAGCTGCCGACCTCCTCATCCCAAACCTGCCTGGGACCCCAGAGTTGAAGCATCAGACCCTCACAGGGCACTCAGCAGTGGGGATGAGGAGGTGGTGATTTGACCCCATGGCTCAGGAATCAAGCTCGACAAAACAACCCAGGTAGGGCTTTCCTGGTGGCGCAGTGGTTGAGAGTCCGCCTGCCGATGCAGGGGACACGGGTTCGTGCCCCGGTCCGGGAAGATCCCACATGCCGCGGAGCGGGTGGGCCCGTGAGCCATGGCCGCTGAGCCTGCGCATCCGGAGCCTGTGCTCCGCAACGGGAGTGGCCACACCAGTGAGAGGTCCGCGTACCGCAAAAAAAAACAAAAAAACAACAACCCAGGTAGAGGACTGAGGACTGTTCAAGACTCATGACCAGAATTCTGCCAAAATTATTCAGATTCCATTGGCTTCTAAAAGGAAGCTCAGGCTGTAATTACCCAGGTTATAGGGTCACTTAGCCAGTGTACCAGCCAGTGTACCCCTGCCTCCCGTTAAGTCCACTGAGCTCAGGTAAATCATTAACCTATAAAAAGTAAATTTAAGACCTCAAGATCTGTTTTCCACATTTTATGCAAGGCACTAAGCTACATTGGTTTGAACCAGCCCTCCGTACCCTCAGCCCAGCCACCCTTAAGAGGCCAGAGCAGACTTCAGTAGGTATTTAAGATTACAAGCTGATCCTGGCTTCTGAGGGCATCAGCAATTAATGAACCAAAAGGCAAATTTTCTTCCCTCAAGTAAAGTAAAAGGAAAAATCCAGAAATGTGTCAATAATTAGAAAGCTTTCTAAAAGTCCCAGCTTCCAAATGCTTCAAGCAATACTTAATTCCGTAAAAAATTGGAAGCTCAAAGATATTCTCAGACTCCTGAAGTTCACTAAAACTGACCTGTCTGACCTGTATTTTTTTTTTACAGTCTTAGAATTTTTTTAATAAATTTATTTATTTTATTTTTATTTATTTTTGGCTTCGTTGGGTCTTTGTTGCCGCGTGCGGGCTTTCTCTAGTTGCGGCGAGAGGGGTCTACTCTTCGTTGCAGTGTGCGGGCTTCTCATCGCGGTGGCTTCTCTTGTGGTGGAGCACGGGCTATAGGTGCATGGGCTTCAGTAGTTGTGGCCCACGGGCTTAATTGCTCCATGGCATGTGGGATCTTCCCGGACCAGAGCTCAAACCTGTGTCCCCTGAATTGGCAGGCAGATTCTTAACCACTGTGCCACCAGGGAAGCCCCTGACCTATATTTCTTAAAAGGGTTCAGGGTCCTGCTCGTAAAAGGAGATGACTCCCTTTGGTCCCGTTACCTGCAGCCAGTTGAGCATCCTGGCGACGCTGTGTCCCACCTCCCTTGTATTATTGACTGCGTCTATGTAAAGCTGGTGAGCCAGCGGAAGCCAGTCCACCACCACGACGTTGGCTCCTTTCTCTCTTGTCTGCAGGGCTGACACGAGTTTGTACAGCCAGCTTTCAAACATGCCGCTCATCTGCAGAGAAAACAGGGCTTTTAAAAGAATTCTTCTTCTGGGTTTCAGAAATCCTAATGAATATGGAATTCAGCTCCACGACCTTCTCCCCAGCCACTTCCGGAACCTTCACATTGGCTACCCAGGCATCAAGCACTTGCACATGAGCCGGGCCAGCCACAGGCAGGATTGCTACATGGGTGATTGTCTTCCACTGCGCTTGACATCTCCAGCTTTTCCCATCAAAGATGTCAGATGTCCTCTGCTGCTGCCCCACTGACCGATAGGCCCCCTATGAGATATAAGTTGGTGGCGATGCTGGCCTGAGGTTAACCCAAGTCCCTGTCACAGTCAGGCCAGTAAGTGGCCTGGTCCATCATTCAAAGGCAGCTGAGAAGGGTTGCCCTGGAGAATTAGTTTCTTTCTCAGAGATGCAGGGAGATTCTGTCTCTTAGGCAAATGCAGAGTTAACAAATGACCCCTTCCCACAAGCCATCTCTGCCATCCTTCTTGACCCCAGAGTAGGGAAGATCTGTCCCTGGAATCCCAAATCAGAACTCAGAACACACTTTCCCACAGAAACAAAGTGTAAATGGTGACTAGGTCCAGCTGTAAACCCATCCACAAGTACATTATTAGATAAACAAATTTTCTGTGCCTGGCCTGGGAACCCTAATGCCATTTACAATCTTGCTTCTATGGGAAACTGCTGTTCCAAGTTCCAAACAGATTATAAAAGAACTTTCTGGAATGCAACCCATTTGTAAGTTGCAGGCAGTTTGTACTTGCATTTTGACAGGGGGCCTTATAAAGGTTCAAATGCATAATTCTAATCATAGGCTGTGGGGTGAGGATGGATGGCAGGCCCTTAATCATCCCTTCAATTACATTAGGTAGGTAGGTGCCTACATACCACCCACCCCCACCAGGCCTGACCCCAACAGTTGGTGATAGACCTAAAGACCCAGAAAGCATGTAACGGATATGAATTTCTCATCATTAAGAGGAGGAATGTCCCCTCCCAATTAGCCCAGGCAGAAACCTGCTCACTTAATAGTGCCATTTTCCTACAGACTGCCATTAGATGAATGAATAAATCCCTCGCTGGTCAAAAGCTTCTGAGGCTGAGTGTTAAAGCCCTTTTTTGTTGAAGTTCGTCATGGGCTTTTCAATGTGAATTGCTCAGCTAGGTCATATAAAGACTCCAGTGCCTTTAAACGGAGCCATCTCTATGCAAACAGGAGGGCACCATGCCAACCAGGGCCAGCCAGCCAGGCCAGCTGCCTCCTCACAGACTCTCTGAGCCAGTCAAGTTGCTTCCGTTCAGCTCAGCTCTTACGGAGGGATGGCCCCCGCGACGCAGTGGTTGACCAATGTAATTAAGCATAATTAGAGGGCCCCTTAAGAGCCAGTGGAGCTGGGCTGCTGCCCTCAGGAGAGCCACTTTCTGAAAGCCCGCTGTGTGCCAGTGTTAAATACCGCCCTGCTGGAGTCCAGATTGCCCCCTTAGCAAAGTGCCCATTACATTCTTCACAGCTGTCTGAAATACAAGCAGCCCACAAGAAAAGAGGGGGAGACAGAGTGGAATCTGGAAGCACCAGTATTCTTTCTAATTGACCAAAACAAAGGAAACCAAATCTCCCGGAAAGCTGTAGAGCCCCCTGCCCCAGAGGCTCACCGTCCATCCATGAATGATGAAAAAGGTTTTGGCTGTCATGTTGAAGCCACAGTCTTCTAAGGGCTGGTTGTGGTCAAAGGAGAGGTAGCATCCTTCATGCTCTGGGTCCTCAGAGGTGCGGAGGTTAAATCTCACAGGGGGTTTGGCAGCAGCTGGTACAACCCTGGATTTGTTGAGCTCATCTGGGGAGAAATAACAGAGCAAGGGTATAACTAGCAGGCCTGGGTGGTGAGAGATCTAGGGTCTAGTTCTAATTCACTCTTGAGCAAATTACTTAACCCCACTGGGTTTCAGTTTTTACATCTGCTGAATGTTTCCTCCTCACCTCCCAGAAGAGTTGCGAAGATGTTATAAAAGGGACATCTCACCAATATTTGAGTATTAATGAGTCACTAGGATCAATTACTGTGAATCTGAAATAAGTCTCTCTTGCTTTTCTTTCTTCTTCCCCATCCAAACGAGTGCTCTTTCCTTCCCTCAAGTTACTAGTTTCAGAGTATGGGTCCTTAATTCTTTTCCTGAAATGCTTGGGACCAGTTGAGTTTCAGAATTCAGAAATTCTCAGATTTTAGAAAGGTATTATGGCATATATATATATATATATATATAAAATATTATTATTATATAACACCCCCAGCAGGGTCTGGGACATTCCCATTCATCAAATGCACCAGTAATACTTCTGCAGGGAAATACATAACTACTCACACTCGAGGGGAAAAAAAAAAAAAGATTCTAAATAGCCTCTTATCGGTTCAGGTCAGTTTTTGCTGCCAAATGAGTAAGAGTTCAGGTCAGGTAAGGCCAGTTCTTGCTGCCAAACAAGTTACCAAACAAATTTTTCAATTTTCAAAGATTTTGGATTTTGGAATTGGAGGTAAGGAGCTGTTGACCTCTTATGCAATGGGCCTCCCTAATGCTCTCATCTCGATTTCAACACTTGCTCCAAAGATCTCATGCATCCTCAGTGCTCCTTGCAGTACCAGACATGTGCCAGACAGTCTTCTAGTTTGTTGAATAAATTAAATAAGTTATTGAAGCCACGGAGAAGCTCATAAGCGCAGCAAAACCTCTTTTTTCAGCTCCACTGCACACACACAGTGCCGTCTAGGAGATGGCCCTACTACAAAACACAGCCCATGTCACTGATGGTCCCTATGGCCTTTTAACACTAGGTACCGTCATCACCACACTATTTCAGAAGGTCCTAAATGAGCCTCATCTAGCATTCTTCCAACCATCCAGGATACCATCCCTTGATAACAGGCTAGGAAATTAGAAAATCAAACTGTCCGGTCACCCAGAAATCAAGTGAAAAGGTACCAAATGACCATCCCAGGAGCTTCATTTATCCCAGAGTTAAAAAACAAATGGAGTCATGGAAAGAGAGACCAGAGTGGGGGACAGGTTGGTGGTGAAGCGGACAAGGGGGAGGACAGCTATGCACCAGATGTAAAAAGGGTAAGGTTCCAGAAAATGCGACTAAATATGCATGAGCAGAACTTTGTCATTAAAGTAATGAACAAAAGCCCCAACTGACAGAAATTTGAACCACCGACATAACTCATTCAATATCTCCCAATTTCCACCCAGATAGCCACTCACAGAGACCAGGTGGGAAGTCCAGGAGAAAAGGAAAGTGAGTCTGCTGGCTTCCTGCCACCAACTTGTGGATAAACTCACAAACTGACGTAAAAGGTTCACCTTAGCAGCTGGCTCTCTCTGACACCACAGTTCTCTAGCTCATTTCTACACCTTCCAGCCTGAGTCACTTCAGCCTCTGGAACTTCATGATCGTCCTTCATCCGGATGTCCTCAGGCTCATTCTCTTACCTCCTTCAGCTCCTTGCTCAGGGGTTAGCTCCTCAGGGATGGAAGCCTGGTCCCAGGCTAACACTGCACCACCTTCTCCCACCAGCCCTCTGTACTTTCCTCCTCTGCTTTTTTTTTTTCCATAACACTGAGCACTATTTATATATTTTAATTAGTTGACTAGCTGTTTTCCCACCACTGAAATGTAAGATCCATGGGGGTAGGGGTTTACACCCATTCTGTTCACCGCTCTATCCCTCACTCCGAGAAGCATGCCTGGCAAATAAATACTGTTTTGAATGAATGAAATGGCCCCCAAATACTCAGAATCGCAGAACATAGAAGTTGGAAGGAATGTTAGCACTTTACAGGAGAGGAACTAGAGATGCGACCTACACTGGTTCAACTGCACTAGAGTTGGGAACATGTTAAATAAAACAAGTTTTTTCCATTCGTTCCAATCAACCTCCTGCATGCACATAAGCAACATGGACCAACATCATTTGACCCAACCTCAGCAGAATAGTAGAAAATGAAATAATAGTGTGTGGTTCAGAGGTTCCCCGCTCTCCTCTGCTTAACTAATTGACTTGGTACTCCCGCTGGGTGACCCTACCCTTGCCCCTCGGGGCAGGTCCCTCCAGTAGAAAAGACTGCCACGCAGAACTCAGAAGAAAAGCTGGCAGCTGGAAGGAGGAGGAGGACGGAGAGGTAGAAGAGGAAGAGCAAGGGCTGGAAAGACTTGGGGAAGAGGAGGCCGGCAACCCGGGGAATAAGCCCAGCAGCTTCTCTGCACAAATTACTCACCTAATACTCCCGGCAAGCACTACTCAAACCAGAGCCAGCTACCCTGATACCTTAACTTTCAAGACACCTACACCGAGATTAAAAGGAAGGGCACCAGGTGATAGAGCTCTAACAACCTTCTTGCCTCGAAAACCCCAGGTTCAAAGAGGAGGACAAGGTAAAACAGCTGCTGGCAGCCAACTCTGCTGACTGGACAGCACCGAGAGGAGAACCGTATAACGACAAGGGGGCGGGGCGAGAGCGAGCGCGGGCGAGCCTGCGGCCTCTTGGACGCCTGGCCGGGGATGTCCTCGTCGGAAGCGCCGAGGAACAAGTGATCTCCAAGGCTGATTAGGAGGACCCAATGGACAGCGCAGGGGGTAAGGAAGAAGAATGTCGCAGGATCGAGGAAGAAGGGTGGGCAAGACAGAGGGGAACTGGCACAGAAAAGAAGTTGTGGGGTGTTAATAAAAACAAGGACACGTTACCTTGCTGCCGACCCTCTGGACCAAGGGTTGCGGGACCTCCCGCGGCAAAGCAACAGTAAGCGCTCCAGAGGCAGAGCAGAAGACCGGAGTTTCTCATCCTTCCCGGCCACATCCCCTTCCCCCAAACGGGACTTTTAGAAAGACCACAAAAAAAAAGAGCCGCCTCTCGATGTTTCCAGCAGTCCGAGCCCGTAAGACCCGAAGTGGGAAGGCTTCTCTCGACCAGAGAGAGTGGTGGCCTTAGACAGCTGCAGGTGGAGAAGGTGGAAAATGAAAACTTGGCTAAACTGAGCCACGGGGTGGTGAGGGAAGTGCGAAGATGCTCCAACCAGAACCAGATCTGCCCTCACCCGTGCCGTTCGCCCGGGAAGCCAGGGCTCGCCAGTGTCACACCGCGAGCTCTCCGGCGAGGTAGTTTTTTAAACTATTGGAGTCATCTGACCCATCGCCAGATGGTGATTTGCATAATTTATTCCCGTCCCCGGACTCTGATTGGTCACACCTTCTCTGACGCTCGAACCAAAGACTCCCCAAAGTTTGAATGAAAGCGCCGCACACCCACCGCGTGGACACTCTGCACGCGCCGCCTTGTCTCCTCCCCAGTCAGCTTCGCGGGCAGCCGCGCTCTCGCCACCCCACTTTTTCCTAGTGTCCACTCCCGGACCCTAGATTCTCCGGTCGCCCCTGCAGCCCCAGGAGGGTCCTTGCCCCAAAGCCCTGTTCCCGCCGCGCTTTCGATCGCTGGAGAAGGAAGGTTGTCCTCTCCAAGGCGCAAAGCCATCCCCGCGCCCGAAATGATCTCTCCTCGCCCCGGGCCAAGGGTACGGATGGAGGAAAGCCACCTGGTCACCCTGTGGTCCTTCTTTTCTCCCTTTCCTCCTGCGCTCCTGCCTAGCGAGGCCCGCGACAGGTGCAGACGGCGTGATCAGACAATAACCCGGCAGAGCGGAGGGGCTGCGGGCTGTGGCCTGGGCATCAGGATCGCTCAGACCCCTCTCGGAGTCCTCGCTCAGCCACTAGCTGCAAAACTCGCGGCAAGCCACCCAACTTCTCCAAGGCCTTTCCTTCGTCCCCAGTACGCGGGCGGTAACAGTTCCTGTCGCTTAGGGATGTTGGGGAAATTTTAAAACTTACTATAGTACAGCGCTCAGTGCGGCGCCTGCCGCGTGGTAGGCACTCTCACACCTGCGGGTGGAGGACTAGAGGGATGTCAGGCGACACTCCCCAGAGGAAACAGTAAGCCAGGCTTGGGGATCTCGGGCGCGTAACCAGCGCCGAGAGTCGGCTGACGCGCGCAACTACTTATTGAGAGGAATTAGGCAGCTTCTTCCTCTCCCTCCTCATTTTTTCCTCCTCTCCTTCCCTTTATTGCGCGTGTCCCTGCTCCTCCCACGGATGCCGGCTCCATCTCCGCCCGGGGGACCCCGGGACCGAGGGCGGCGAGCGCCCCGACCTCGGCGGGAAGCCCGGGGCGCTAGGCCGGCAGCGGCCGGGACAGCTAGGGAGCGGCTGCGCCTCAACAGCCCTCAGGAACGCCGAGGAGGTGGGAGAGATACAAAGCGCCTCGGCGGGGCCGAGCACGGTCATCCCGCCTCCTTCCAGCCAGAACTGGCTCTCCCAGACTACACCTTTGACTGGGCGAAACCCCGCCGTCGCCAGAACCGGTCCCGCTCCTACCTGGGGAGGAAAACGGCCCGAGCAGCCCCGCGCCCCTTCCTCCCTGGTGTCGGGGGGCCCCTCCTGGAAGATCTGTGTGGGGAAACCAGTCTGGAGGAGCAAGTCCTGTCCAACCTATCCTCGTTACTTTTGTTACTCCAGCTGCCCAGCAAAGCATGCTTTGTCCCTCCTGTGTGCTATAATTCATTAACAAGAGGCAGGCCGGCTTTATTTTTTCAGTGTAAAACTCAATGTATTTTATGGGATGGTAAATGGCACCCCCGGATATGTTTTTTCCCTCCTCTTACCGCTCTCCTTCTCCACTGGCAAACTATACAGACGTAAGTCAGGTATCGTCTCCATTTTACAGATGGGAAAACTGAGTCTCAGGAACAGGCTGCCGGTCTGAAGCAAGTCTGACAACCAGATCTCTCTCTTCTGCTCTCAGCTTGATTTAGCCAGTTGACCTCTAAATATGAGCCTTTGGGAGCCATGTCTCCATCTCTTCTGTGGTCCAGTCAGTAGATAACCTGTGAGTCAAAAATCCCCTTATCTGGGGACTTCAGTGGTAGCACAGTGGTTAAGAATCCGCCTGCCAATGCAGGGGCCACGGGTTGGAGCCCGGCCACAGAAGATCCCACAATGCCCGGAGCAACTAAGCCCTGCGTGCTACAGCTATTGAGCCTGCGCTCTAGAGCCTGCAAGCCACAAGTACTGAGCCCGTGGGCCTAGAGCTCATGCTGCACAACAAGAGAAGCCACCACAATGAGAAGCCCACACACTTCAAGGAAGAGTAGTCCCTGCTCCCTGTAGAAAGCTGGTGTGCAGCAATGAAGACCCAATGCAACCAAAAAACAAAACAAAACAAAAAAAACCCTCTCTGTTCTGAGTTACTCAAATCACAGTCCCTAGAACCTTAACTGGACAGTGTAGAGAGTGTGTCTTGGGGACCCCTGTCACAAGTGAGATCCCCTAGGAGAGCTTAGGTACTCCTACAAAGTTGGTTATCCTACCTGAAAAAAACGTAGATTCAACAAGATCAACGCCCATCTTTTTTACATTTTATTGCTGGTTGGTTAGAGTGCCCTCCTGTGTCATTATATTGAAACATCATGTGAGAACTTCCAAAGGACATCACGAAATTATAATCACAGTATTAAAGTAATGGATAACATCAACTGTCAGTTATGCAAAGCATAACATGTGTATAAAATATGCAAAACATATTTTTCAGAAGAACCATGAGGAGATTTGGGGAGCCCCCAGTGTGGAGGAAGTCCCTGCCTGGGGAGTTTCAGCAGAAACTTCTGCTTGTGTCGCAGTCAAAATGTCAGGGTCTCAGGTTACTCTAGCAAAGGTTCTGGTCATTCTTTTAGGCAGTTTGTCATCTGAAGACACCTGCCTATGTTAGAGGAATAAATCTCCCTCTCATGAGAGGAACCCACTTTCTACTTCAGAAGCCTCCCTTGCAGCTAGAGTTCCTGGTTTAAACTCAGCCAATCAAACCCTGAGGTGAAAGCAAGCGAGCCTGAAGGCACACAGCCACTCCACTCCACCAGCGGGACAGCAGCAGCCAGCTCTAGTTTTTGGGGGCAGCAGTGGCATCGCTCACAGACCAGTGTGCAGTGGTACTTGGGCAATGCAGTCTGCCTGAGTATATTTTCCAAGGCTGGTTCTTTTGCCCTGCAGATATTCTGATTGCTATCTAATATGTTTTTAATGAGTTCCTCTTCTGCATAAATGAGCCAAAGATTGTGTTGCTTATAACTAAGAAGATGATTTAATCACCCGATGCTTACTGAATGGCTACTGGAGTAAAACACTGAGCACCCCAAGGAATGTTCAGGAGGCCATCCGTGCTCTCACAGACATGATGTTGAAAGTGTGGTATGTAGGAGTTACCAGACATCTGGACCAGTGCTGTCCAATAGAAATATAATACAAACCACATGTCTTGGTCAGCTATAGCTGCCATAACAAAATATCATAGACTGGGTGGCTCAAACAACAAGAATTTATTTTCTCACAGTTTTCAGGGCTAAATGTCTGAGATTAGGATGCCAGCATGGTCAGGTTCTGATGAGAACCCTCTTCTTGTTTTGTAGATAGCTTCACTGTGTCCTCACATGGCGGGGAGAGGGAGAGCAAGCTCTCTGGTGTCTCTTCTTATAAAGGCACTAATCCCATCATTAGGGCCCCACCCTCAGGACCTCATCCAAACCTAATGGCCTCCCAAAGACTCCATCTCCAAATACTATCACATTTCGGGGTTAAGCCTTCAACATATGGATGGCAGTGAGGGAAGGGATTGTTGAAACACAATTCAGTCTAAACACCAAATATGTGATTTTACCTTTTCTAGTAGCCACATAAAAAGGTAAAAAGAAACGTGAAACTAATTTTTTAATAATTTTTTGTTTAATGCAATATATCCAAAATATTACTACTTCTACATGTCATCAAAAAATTACTGAGACTATTTACATTCTTGTTTTGAAATCTGGTGTGTTTTTACACTTACAGCACATGTCAAATTGGATTAGCCACGTATAAAGTGGTCAATAGCCACATGGAGCTAGTGGCTACCCTATTAGACAGCATACATAGATTTAGAGTGTTAAACCTAAAACAAATCTGAGACATCACTTAGTACAACCATCTCACTTTACAAATCGTGAGCCTAAGACCCAACCAGATTGACTCACTTGCTCAAGGTCACAGAGCTGGTAAAAAAGCAAAGATGGAACACAAATCCAAGTTTCTGATTCCAGGACTTCCTCTCCCTGTTTGAAGACAGAGAAGATGATGGAGAGCTGAGAGGACCAGACTTAGCGGAAAGTCTAGAATAAAAATCATACCACTGGTTCAAAAAAAGAAGGAAAAAACTAGCACAAACTGGACCCCTTCAAATATTTATTAAACCTCTGTCATAGGCCCAGCATTATGCTAAATGCTATAAGCAACTCAAAAAGAAATGGAAAATATAATTAAATGCACAGCGTACTCAAACTCTACTTTCCAAGGTCAGAGAAGAGAAAAATATAAGTGAATCAAACTGATAGAAAAGACTATTAGGTGGAGATGGGACTTAAAAAGACTTTAAAGAATGAAAAGGCCTTAAGTCCCAACTCTTGACTGGCACTTGGATCCCCCTGAGTGAAGTACTGACCACAAAGTTTGGAAAGGGAGTGCCAAACCTCCAACAAGGGGGTAGCATTCCTCTGCTTACTCGGCTGTTAGTTCTGGGTGACAAGCAGGAGTTAAAGTCGCCAGACTCTTCTCTTGATAAATTCAGAGACCTGAGGTCTCCAACTCCTGAAGCTTATATCACTCAGAAGCAACATTTCTTCCAAAAGGAATAAGCTAGAGAAGCATTTCTCCATGTGGGCCTGGGATGTTAATAGGCGTTACATGGAATAAATATGGGAACACTGAGTTAGACAAGCTAAAACAGGCTTCTTCACTGCAGGACTTCTCAGGACCTTTATTATACTTTAACCCTTCAGTAGCTTCAGGTTCGAGATTAAGACCCTTCAAATGGCCAACAACACCCTCCATGGACTGGCTCAGGCGAGAGGCACCACTCTGTCTCCCACCACCCTCCTCTCCTCTCTCTGCCTTCCTGCTACCCTGGCCTTGTCTTAGCTCCTTTATCTGCTCTGTCCAATCCGGTACGCACGGCCCCCTGAGCACTTGAAATGTGGCAAGTCTAAACTAAGTGTAAAATGCATACCAGATTGCAAAGACTTAAAACCAA